ACATCAAGTCATTAAATTTGCCACTTAATGTGACAGTTCATGTCAGCCGATAGACCAGTACGTTCTTGAAATGCTAAAGAACAAGGATCGTCAGCACCTTCTAAGTTCACTGATATTAGTGCTTGAAGGCTATATAACCATCCTAAAAATGATTGACACACTAGATGTCTTGAGGTGGGTGGCCGAAGCTTGGGAACAGCTTTCAAATACATCATTTGTAAGGTCTTGGAAAATGGTTTTGGACTATGATGGTGGATATTTCTACTCCGAACCGTGTATGAAACCAAAGCGGAAAATGAGGATGATAAACTTGTTCCACTGCTTGAAAAAGTACCGGGCTGTGACGATGTCAATGCAGATGACATTACAGAATGGATGGCAAACGACAAACTTTATTAAATAACTGACAATGATAATGTGGAAATGGTGACACAAGGTGAAGTAGAAGAGGCTTCCTTAGATGATAGGAAAAATCTCATCCCACATTCATAAGGATTCAAGTCGGTTGAGACAGCGCTGACAGGTACATTAGTGAACAGGAGAAAGCCACACCAGATGACATAATCTACTTGTGTGAATGGAGCGAGAGAGAGACTGCCTCGAGGAAGACAGCAAACTGCATGAAACAGCCATCCACCAAGGACTTGTCCGGCTCGCTAGATTAGTTGGCTAAATCTGACTGCGTGGCGAGCGCGTGATGAACTCCTTGGGTCCAGATTCACGCCCAGGGATAGGCAGAAAAGTCACATTTCTCCCAGATTTGTGGTATCTATCATGGAATCTAGGCCGAAGAGTTGCGATATCCATAGTACCGAGATAAAAGGTTAACAACTCATGGTTTCTGGACATTGAAACAGAAATCACGGACTTCAAAAACTGAAAATTGTAAGCTTTGACTCTTTTATCTCAGGCTGGTTTTTTCTCATTTGTGTAACTACCTATCAATTAACAGCAAAAACAAAATTGTTTACCTAATTTTGGTAAGTAAGCCAATGTTTTCCGTTAAATGTTTTGTTAGTTTTTAATGTGTATGTGTGTGTTCATACCGTACTGTGAACATGATTTTAGTTTTCCTGAAGCTAACTTAGGCATTATAAATTGTTTCTTAAAATGTAAACAATATTTTTTATTTTTAGACTTCCTGATAAAATTTTTTTTTCAAATCTACAGTACAATACATAAGAAAAATTTATAAAGTACTTGCCTGCACTAAGGTCATAAAACATGGAGAGTGGGTTTTGGTATAAAAGGGTGTTTTAATAATATGGGTGGGATAGGAACTAAGTATTTATAGAACTACGGAACATCCAGCTTTCTTATTATCTGGCCGACCCTTCAACCACTTTAGACCAAATACTGCAGATTCCACTGTACACACCATTTTGAAAATAGTAATTTTTAAAATAAGACGCTTATATGAAAGCATGTCTGATAAAATCAAACAAAGTGGTAAACAGCCGCAAGGACAATTTACAGCAACCTAAACTGTTTTGAAAATTGCTTATTAAACAATCCCTTCTAAAATACTTGCATTTCTACACATAACAGAAAGCAAAAGCAAAGACAAAATAACAGTTAAGCCTGCCTATGTGTTATTGCAGTGTTTAACCTCATTGCCCCAAAAAGCAGGGAACTTAGCACATCTGCAGTTATTTGTTTCTTAGAAGCATGCTTAAATATCACTGGCCTGCACAACATTTAGGAGGCTTAGATATGAATTTTTTACTTTTAAAAAATATTAGGGGTGGGGGAATTAAGTGACAGGTTCGTTAATGGCTAGCCAATGTACACAGTCCCAGGCAAAAATGTGCAACAGCAACAACAGAGACTTTTCTGCTTGTGCCAATGTGGCTCATACAGGTAACCTGATCTATGCTGTTAATGGGGTTCATGCATGTTAGTTGGCCTATGCCAATTGAGTTGATGCAGGTAAGTGGGCATGTGATAATGAGACTCAATAGGTAACTTTAACTCTACCAGACCGCTGGCCCGCTATTATGGGAATTTCCTAACCTGCAGCTAAACAGCTGTCCCTCAATGTCCGGAATTTGCGTACTATGTGAAAAGAATGTATCACAAACTAAAAATAACTAGCCAATCATAACCAGATCTCGTGGATAGTCTCCTCAGAGCACGTGTTTGTATTAAATTTGTGTTGTTTTATGTGAAAAAATTCTGAAAATTCACAATAAAACGAGCGGCCAAGCACTCCAACAGGAAAGTGAGGTAGGTCTAGGCTTTTCACAGTCCAACAGGTGAGCGATACTTTGGTTGATTCAGACTCGGCAGAGTCATAATTTCACGAAGAATACGTTCCCAGTTGAAGTGACAGTCAGTGAGAGCTGAAATGATGAGGAGAATCTTGAAAATTATAAATCTAAAAATAGATCGAAAGTAAGAGAAGGGGGCGTGTCCATCAAACAGCAACATCTGGTGTTCACTCTGTGAAACAAGGTTGATCCTGCTGGGTGGATTAGCACACATATTGGCGCTAGATAAACGGTAAACATATTTTCTACAATGTCTCCAAGTTTCATCTTATTCTAGCCACTTGTTTGCATGTAACTAATATTTTTGTATATCATGGTTTTTTTCGCGTTAATGCCCAGGAGCTCAGGTACAGGAGGCAGTTAGGTTCAGGGTCTGAGGTCTGGTAGGGTTAACACTGCTAATGAAGCTCATACGGGTAACTTGGTCTGTGCTGAAGAGGCTTAAACAGATAACATGGTCTGTGCTAATGAGGCTCATACAGGTAACTTGGTCACGCAGTGTGATTTTGGAAAGGCCAGGTATAAATTACTGCACGTTCAAATCATCGCATTAGTTTGAACACTGTTGTTATAAAAAGACATAATCATACCAGTCTTAATAAAACTTAATAGGACAATTTCTGCAATCAGGTCTTTTATTTCATTTTCTGTAACCAGCCTTGCAAGAATATACATGTTGTAACCAGACCAGTTACATAAAGTCTTAACCTAGACTTGACAGTTTCTGTAACTAGATCTTCCTTAGTGTTAAAATCTCTGTAACCAGAACACTCACAATATAACATCTTTAGTAACAAAATGGTCTATAGCATAACGATGTCTGTAACAAGAAAACCTGTCGTACTGTAACAATATGCACAACCAAACCCGCAAGTCTAACAATCTCTATACCCAGACTGCTACAATTTATGCATCCAGGCCACCCAGTGTAACAATGTATGCATCCAGGCCTGCTACAGTATACCAATTCATGTACTCTGACATGCTAGTGTAACAATTTATGTATCCAAACCTACGACAGTGTAACAATTTAGGTACCTATACCTACCATAGTGTAACAATGTATGTAACGAGACCTGTTACAGTGTAACAATTTATGTACCAAGACCTACCAGTGTAACAATTTAGGTATCCAGGCCTGCCACAGTGTAACAATTTATGTACCAAGAACGTTGACAGTGCAACAATTTATGCACCTAGACCTGCCACAGTATAACAATTTATGTATCCAGACCTTCTGCAGTGTAGCAATTTATGTAGCCAGGCTTGATACAGGATAGCTACTTATATACCAACACCTGCTACAGTGTAACAATTTATGCACCTAGGCCTGCCACAGTTAACAATTTATATACGCAGGCCTGCCACAGTTAACAATTTATATACGCAGACCTGCCACAGCGAAAAACAATTTCTAAACCCAGGCCTGCCACAGTGTAACAATTTCTACACCCAGGCCTGCCACAGTGTAACTATTTCTACACCCAGGCTCACCACCATGTAACAATTTCTACACCCAGGCCTGCAAACCGGCTCCAACATAGTCAGCTGCTTGTGGTTTAAAAGGTAATCTGTATATTTTCAGTATTAAACAATTCTTATAAACGAACTGTACACATTCAATTCATGTCCCTATACACAAGATAAGAACCATAAAGTTGTGACACAGTTCTGGTAAGAAACTTGCATTCTGGGAGTCTCCGGAAAGAAAAGTGATGCCAGTGAACTCAATAACAATAGAGCGCAGTGAGCGAAGCAGCACTCATGTTTTCCTCTTACACATACAATTATTTCACATTTATAGAGATTTAAGCATTGTTAAATGTTACTGTTTCACCCAACTTGTGCAAAGCAATAGAACCAAGTTTTAAATACGTGTGGATTTCTAGGGAAGGGGACATCAAGCATAAAGTGTCTTAAACAAAACAAAAGTGGTAAAATTAACAACAAATCCAGTGCTGTGTAAGTTAACATGAAACTAGACCATAAATGACATAACAGGACTGAACATAAATGGCTTTCTAATACATAAACAAAAGGCTGAATATTTAACATTTGCAATTACAAAAGAAAATTAAACAAAGATAAACATAAAAGCAGTTTTAAAACAAACAAAAAATATGTGGAGTACCAGAAATGTTACCTTTGTGTGGTCATCTGATCTGTATACCAATAAATTTGCAGTATTTAATTCACAAGTGAATACAGCCAAATTATTACTTGCTCGCCTGACACTGTAGACGGCAGTCTTAAGAGTTATTCAGTTTTTACAATAAAAATACAAAACAAACCCCAAAAAAAGTTCAATAATGAATGTAAGAGTTTCTATAACACACAAAAATATGGTTCCATCACAGCCAATTTGAAATGACTTTATATTCTGTGCCAAAAGTATGTGCAAATCTAGCATTATATGGTGTAAGATTGACTCTTGCACCTACAGCGAGAAATAAAACCCCAATAAATTGGTCTTTTCCCAAGACAATACTTTACGCCAACCATTTTGAAAGTCTTATAAGCAAGAAGTGTTTTCTGGCATATTCTTGCCAGCAGCTTACGAATGATGGGCAAAAGGTTTGCGGCCGCCCACCAGTGTAGCCACAACTTAGCTGCAGCCTGCAACCGTGGACTTCCTGTCCCACAGGCCAAAATGTGACAAAGCAGAGTCACTGTCACTGGAAATATCTGCTGCGCTGATCTGTATAGAGGCAGGTCAAACCAGAGCTAGAGTCATGCATCTTTTTGACAATACAGCTCCTTTAATGCTTTCAGTTCCTCAATCAGGGTCTTGTTTTGGTTTTCCAAGACTGCTACTCGGTTTTCCAGGCATTTCACATACTCTTTCTTTTTTCGTCGACACTCCCTAGCTGCCTCTCTGTAGAAGAAAAATGCAAATGTCATGAATTAATTCCTTATTTATGACCAAGTTTAAACCCATTCAGTATTTTAAAAAACCATTACGTGTTTATCAGGGCTCCCCTGCACAATCAGTTTTAATCAACTTCTGCCCCTTCTGTTACACCAGCTAATCTCAGAAAAAGTTCACATATTCAGGAAATATCATCATCATCATGTGCCCTGCCAACTGGCGTAGGCGCTCAAGCATCTCCACAGATCACGATCCCTTGTTGACTGGAACAGCTCTCATGATGATATTCCTCCATGCAATCGTTTTAGCCCATCCAGCATTATCTCTCTTGGTCTGTCTCTACCCCTGTTTCCACTGACCTTTCCAGCTGTCACGATGTTCTCTAATGTCTTTCTTCTCATTATGTGGCCAAAGAAAAGTGTTTGTCTCTTTCTCATTGTTGTATATAGAGATCTACTTTCATTAGCCTCTTTCAAACAATCGCTGTTAGGTTATTCTGGCGGTCCAAGGTATTCGTAACATTCTTTTCAGAAACCACATCTCTGTTGCTTACAAATTCTTCTTAATTTGTTCAGTGACATTCCAAGATTTGCTGAACAGGTTCTATGTAACATTTTAACACCTTGTGGTGTCAATTATTTTTTTTTTTTAAATAATACCAATTGTGTCCTCTAAAAGACCCCAGCTTATAAATTAAAACTTTTTTCTTGATTTCCCAAATGCAAAATCATTGATAATGTCATCAACAGGTATGCTATGTAAAATGTCGCTTTCTATAAACATGATGTTAAGTGCAGACAACTATTAAAATATTAGAAAAGAGCACTGCTTTTCAACTTTATTTACAGGAAACTGCATGTGTATATAAAACTAAGATTCGCTTGTTTAGCTTATACATAAATCTAGCACTGGTTATAATTTGAGCCAAGCTGTTACTTAAGACATATAGAACTGGAAAAAAAAAAAATATTTCGCCCGAGACCGGAATAGTTAATATGTTCCATGCTATTTACTGCTAATTTCGAAAATTGTATATCTATTGTTAGTTGCATATGCCTTGACACTGCAAACCAGCCTCAACCAGTTTTGAAAACCTGTAAAAAGGCTTCATCTCTTTTAGTTGTGCTTCTAGTTTCAAAGCCGTATAAAACGACTGGTTTAATATATTTTGATCTTGGTGTTGCAAGATAGACTTTGACTTTAGCAAATGTTGAAGGGCATAGTATATTTTATTTCCAGATTGTATTATATACTGTATTTCTTCTCTCAGCAGGTTTCAGCAGCTAAAGTTTGCACCCAAGCACTTATATGTTTCTGGTCCTTTTATTTTCATATTATCGACTTGTTTGTTGCCGGAGTTTATATCGATGCTGATACTTTTTGTTAAAAGTGGTTGGCTGCAAAATCATCTGCAGCTGAATTGAGTCCAGGATGTTTGAATTTAGTTCGGGTCGACAATTTTTGGAAAAGTTCACGTTTACACACCTTGATGAGGTGTGTCTTCTGTCAGATACGGGACTTTTTTTTTTTTTTTACAATTTGAATGCAATATTCATATTTTACTGAAATAATATAGGTGTCAAATTGGTTATTTATTGAAACATGTTTGAAAATTTGCATTTTTTTCAAACCCTATCAACAGTATTTGTACAAAGAGATAACTGTATGCATCATATACCGTTGTAATCATTATCATCTTCCCTCCATTGCTCAAGGACTTTCAGGACCATGGAATGCCAACTTTCCTATTAAAAGCTATTTCAACTTCCATACGTGGATGTAAGCAAGACCTTACTACTCATTAGCATAAGCTGTGCACGATTCCCTTTGGCTCAAACTAATCATGTGGGCATCCAATTCTCCAAGATGGCCAGTTAGATAAACTGTTTAATTGAATACAAGACGCCCTAAACTACAAAAAATGCCTCGTTCCAAGAAATTTACCCATATCAGCTGCACAACGTAAGAAATTTCGAAGTCTACAACTGGCAAAGGCTTGTAAGCAACAAAGTCTACCAGAACATCGTGAACTTTACAGAAAATTTTGAATGCGACCCAGCTAAGCAGCATGTGCATTTTCCCAGACTCACTAGCATTTTGACAATGAACAATTCTGCATCACTGTGCTCTTCTCAAAGTTTTTTTCCCCCTTGCAGAAAAACCGGAAGCCAGTTTAAAAAAGGAAACGTATACGAATATATGACCTCTCTAGCAGCAAGTACATTTCTGCTGATGACAACGGATATTTAAAAAAATGAATACAAAGCTGTAGTTGATTTTTTCTGCAATTTATGAAATCAGAAAAGTGATTTCTTGTCCAGTATGTAAAAATACTTGTCTTATTTTGAAAGTGGACAGCAAGAAAGCTAAAGGATTAGATCAGTTTACTGCTCTTGCGGTGAAGTAGTAGTTTGTGGAAGGTAACCTAGCTGCAAGAAGTAATGATGGGGATAGATCTTTTGTCACCAACAGCTAGTCTGTTTATTCTGCATTAGCTTGTGGAATGGGTGCAACGTTCAATAATTTTGGTGAAAATATGAGCCTGCAAGGTTTTCATCACAAAACGAATACATTTTATTAACAGTTAGAATTTGATTTTTTATAGGTCTGCATATGAAGAGATTAGGAGCATTCAGAAGACAGTAGAAATAGTTTGAAGTATAAGAAGGACACGACAGTTTATGAGCAGCCAAACTGAAGAGACAAGAGGAATTGCATGCCCTAAAGAGACGTCCCGCATATGCTACAGGATTGTTTAAATGACAGTTAAATGTAAGAAACTTTTTCGTTGTTGTTTTGTTTGCTTACGATTGTGCATAAAGAAATTCAGCCTGTACACACTACAAACATAAATAATTTGTTTTAGAACATACTTAAGAAATTCAATATTGCCACTGTTTAACTTGGTTTCCATAGAACAGTCAATGTGACAGTATATTTCTTTGATCAGTGGCCTTCAGTGTAAAGCACTATACCAGGGCTATTCATCTGGCCAGCGAAGGCCTAAAAAGTGGCCCACAGATCACCTGCTAGTTGTGTTGCATTAACACTCTTATGTCCTAAATATTAGCCCTGAGTAAACTTTGTTAAATAGCCCTGCACTATACCATATCAGAACACAGAAATCAAATGGTATACAATTTAATTTTTCTGCTTCAAGAGACTGTGCTTATAAACATTAAACCACAGATACTGACTACATTGAACAGATTTGAAATCTTAAATACTTGATCGTTTTAAAAAAAACTGTAAAAAGAACAAACATGATATTGACTATTTCTGTCAAAATCTGTTCAAATACCTATTTTTCAGCAAGCGAAGCTCTCGTTTTCTAGAGCCTTCTTCTGACACATGCTGTGGGCTGGACATGGGGCTTCCTGGCGCCATGACAACTCCTTGTGCCAAAGAACCAGGCGCTGCAATTTGATAGGCTTGAACATTGGCTCCCGCAACTAGACACAAGAGAATTTGGCAAATGTAGAACATAAATTTCTTCAAATTCAATGGGGAACAAAAACCTACTGAACTCATTACAGATCAGAAGCAAGAAAATGAAGACAATTTTATCTATGTGGTTAACATGGAGAGAAAGCCATCTAAAGAAGCAATGATGTGTATTTACTGTTGGCTATATAAATATGTTAACCACCCTTTCCTTAAAACCCATTATTATAACCTGATTAACATACACTCTGTTCTTCTTCGTTATGGTTCATCTGAGTGGCGTAAATGCAGTGTGCCAGTTTCATAGGGCATTTGTTATCCAGATTAGACTTCCCGGATAGTTTTGTGGGGTTTGTAGCCTTATATGTGTGGAGAGTTCTTCGTCCTTGATCCAAGAGTGTTACCCCTAGAGAAACCAGACAGGGCAACCACGTGTAGACCAGTCGAACCTCAAGGGAATGCAGGGGCAGACCATAGTGATTGGCACTCCTCATCAATCCGAGCAGGTTTCTATAATTGCAGAGCGGATACATGATGCAATGGTACTGGGTTTATCACTCAAGGAATTGTCACCTCCTGCTGGACTTTACATCCGTATACTGAGTCTTCCACTCACTGTAGGCAGCACCCTTTAGGGATCCCCAGCAAACAGTCTGCAGACCTGAGACTCCGACTTCCTGCACAAATGGACATCTCACTTCTTCAGCAAATTAGATCTTGTTTTGGCGATGGCACCTTTCATGTGGATGCCTCAAGACACTTTTGCTGCATTTATGGGAAGCACACATCAGGCCTGGCTTCTGTGTATGGTCATTACACTCTGAGAAGTGTTGCAATTGCTAGCAAACATCTGAACCTTTTGTCATATAGCTGGATCTCCGAGTGAGGGACACCTGAACCTTTGCTGTCATAGAATCTAAGTGGTCACATAGTAGGAGTCTACAGGTCTGAACCAGGGTTTGTCACACAGCAAGACTTCTGGATGATAGACATTTAAACCAGGGTTTGTCACACAGCAAGACTTCTGGATGACAGACATTTAAACCATGGTTTGTCATTCAGTAGAACTTTTGGACGACAGAAGTCTGACGACCCAGGGTCAGTCATACTGTAGGAAACTTTTGGCAGACAGACATCTGAACCTGACTGGCAGACAGACATCTGAACCTGACTGTGTTATTAGTAGGCTGCTTGGCAAGCAGAATCCCCTCATGTTCCAATGAGTATTTCATGTACATTAACACCAATGCACTAGAAAAATGTTGCAACACAGTGGCAAAGAAATAAAATAAGACCAAAAATGTAAAGACGAAAAGATGGGAAGGATATGTGGAGAGATGCATGTGATAGCAAAGAACAGAACAACCTGGCGTGAGTTGGTTGAGGGCCTATGTTTCTTTGGCACTAATCACAGTTTGATTATATATCCATTCTTGCCCAATCACATGGAAAATATCATGAATCAACTGTACATTTTCTGATTATGCTGTGCCTGCTCGCCCTGCACTTCCAGCCCAATGCGATTAGAACCCTACATAAGTCGACTTTTTTGCTCTGTCAGTTTATTATGGCTAGAACCATTACGAGACATCATCAACCATTCATACACATCACTATGCCATATCTAACGACCTTTATTACAGGAAGACAACTATAAGAACGCTATGATCACAAACAAATTATTTTCAAAATTTCTAATCTTTCCAAACACAAAAACTATTTTCAGTACTTTTGGGAAATTAAAAAACTCAAAACAAGGATGTTGTGTAAACCTAGCTCGGTCCCCTACGAGATATACCTGGCCCAAAAAAGGGAGTAGTCTGTCTTTAAGGATAGGGACATTAAGCCAGAGAGCTGGCACACATACCAGAAACATAGCCACAAAAGTGGTGCAAATAAACGAGACCACAAATATAACCAGAGACTTTGGCAGCTTCAGCTAACAGGAGGTTGAAAGTGCTCAAGTTTTTGTTTTTTTTTGTAAAATGGAATGGAAATCTGAGTTTGACCAATTCCTCTCTTAATTTTGTTTCTCTTATTGTGTACCCAGCTTGTGCTATCCAAGACTTTCTTCTTACCAATCTGTGGCCATTAGCTGTTAATCAAGCACAATTTCCAACGAGACCAGGTAAAATACTTGTACACAGTAAAACAAATCATTGAACAGCTGCTCTTGGTCAGTGTTGCCATAAATAAATCTGTGGCACAGGTGTTAAACTTTTACACTAAAAAATATTAGGTCGGCTGCTCCCGATTTAGTCAGTTAAATCCAATTATCCAGATGCTGGCTGCTGAAGATGGGGACGAAACACACATGGGAATGCCCCAAGTGCTGTGATGTCAATTCCTGACTCATCTCAACACAACATCCAACTAACCCATCTGTAATATATATCAATGGAGATGTTACCTGGAATATAGAACTGGCCATCTGGTCCTTGAGCATACTGTACAATAGTGGTACCTCCAGCAGAATTGCCAGACGTGGGACTTGCATTAGTCATAGTTAAAGTCTGCAGACCCTGTGCTGCATGTGAAGCATCACCATGTGCTGTCAGATGTAAGGTTCCTGCCTGAACATCTGAAAGAAAGAAATTGCTAAAGCATATCATATATGTCTACTTCTAAAATAGTCCATGCTGTGTGGAGCTGGTAATGCTGCTCATCCGTATTCTTGTCTCCCATGCACCACCAATTATTCTGATGCCAAACTTCCATATTCTTTACTTGGTCTCCCTCTGCATCTCTTCTTCTCCAACTTTCCTGCTGTCATGACAAATTTGATTTTATCCTACTCTCGATCTACTATTCTTCTTAACCTTCACAGTGGTGAGAGGGAAGTAAACTCGGATGGGAAGTTCTGGTTAGTTGTTCATCCACTTCTGGATTTTAGTCTTGTTCGAAGACTTCAGTTTTGCCTGCACATCCATTTTACAGATCTGTTTTACTTGTAGGCAGACTGTTGGTTCCTTGCCTTTCAGGCAGATGCAATCTGACTCGAAGGAAAACAGGTTCTGGATTGGGAACTTGTTTCTAGGATGACCAAGGAGTGGTGTAGATAGGTTTTGTTTGGAAAAGTTGGCCAGGCCCACAGCTGGGAACTTGTTTCTAGGATGATCAAGGAGTGGTGTAGATAGGTTTTGTTTGGAAAAGTTGGCCAGGCCCACAGCTGGGAACTTGTTTCTAGGATGATCAAGGAGAGGTGTAGATAGGTTTTGTTTGGAAAAGCTGGCCAGGCCCACAGCTGGGAACTTGTTTCTAGGATGATCAAGGAGTGGTGTAGATAGGTTTTGTTTGGAAAAGCTGGCCAGGCCCACAGCTGGGAACTTGTTTCTAGGATGACCAAGGAGAGGTGTAGATAGGTTTTGTTTGGAAAAGCTGGCCAGGCCCACAGCTGGCAACTTGTTTCTAGGATGACTAAGGACAGGTGTAGATAAGTTTTGAACAGTTTGTGTCCAGGTTCTGGTGCCCCAACACATGGTTCAGTGCCTCTTCATCCCATGATCAACTCAAAGAATGTGTATTTCCTTCTTCTAATGAAATATAAGTCTATGGTTAAACACCAGCAAGGAAATAAAAGTCAATATTTTGAGAGCATGCTTCCTCCCTGTAGCAACATATGGTTGTGCTTCAGGAACTATCTCAGTTTTTCAGGAAAAATTAGGAACATTTGAGCTGAAATACCTTAGAAAGATTCTCAGAATTCCATGGATGAAGAAGACAAGAAATAATGACATCCTAAACAACCTGAATTCCAAGGAAGACTGGCTAGTAAACATCATCTTGTCTCAAAGACCGTGAAAACACTGCTATGCTGCAAAGTACCTGCTACATGATGACGAGGGTAATCAGTTCTCTTTGTAAGTTTATTACTTTCAAGCCATCTCCATCACAAGTATTATCTATCCATGTTCTCATCATTCTACAATAAATCACATCTCTGCAGCTTCCATATAATTTCTTTACATAAATGTTTAAATATTCGCCACAACACCCCGAGAAGGCTAAATATAGTCAGTTCCTGTTGTGAAACACTCCTGTAAAAGATGATATATCTCCATTTTTAAAAACAACAATTTTACAGAGGTGAGTTAAGTTAGTTGCTTATCCTTTACAGGATGTTGCAGAACCAACCCCAGCATATTTATTGCTATTGTAGTATTTCTAGGCAAATTTTTACGTTCAGTAGTAACAAACTTTTTAAAAATGTACCTAATGTTTTTAAATTTATTTTAGAAATGCATTAAAATATGTAAAGGAAATAATCAGTAAGCAGAGCGTAGACACAGACCTTTCTTTACCTGTACATGTTTTCACAGTGACTCAATGGGTATGTTTAGAAAGATAGTATCAGGGCACACAGACATGCAAGGAAGCTGATAGGCTTGCAAGTAAAGCTACTGTGGAGGGTGATTTGCCATGGACCAGGCTGATAAACTGAATGTTCTATGAGAAGGAAGATATGACAGTGACAATCAAGTGATGACTGTGACTCTGCAGCCATGACCAAACTGCAAGAACAGCACACTGAAAAGGGTTCGGCCGCCAGACAAGAGCACCAGGCAGGAATGCTCAATGTGCAGTGGTGTCCATTGTGGTAACATAACTATGCAGGAAGCCAAAGAAGAATAGGAAACAAACATAGAACTGGTGTCGTGAGCGGCTATATTCCGCAGGATTTACTGAGGAGAGGATCCGAGCACATTTGGACCGAATGGGTTCGATGTGCAATGAGGATAACTTGTCGACTACCTGAGTGAAACACTGTATGGAATACATTCTCTGGGCTCTAAAAAACAATATGTATCGCACTCTTGATGTTATCCATCTTACTGAGGCTACGTAAAATTAATGAGGTCAACTTGGCTATTTTCATTATTTGGGAGATAAAACTAGTTTCTTTCTATGTACATTATGTGGGCGATAAGACAGTTGTTAAAAAGCCAACCTCATATTTCAGTTCTTGTATTATTTTGACTCACAGGAATCATGGCCGTCGTTGCTCTGACTGCTGTTTGAATCATCTTCCATTTTTGGAACAGGAGACGACAAATCATTCAAAATTTTTCTGTTGATAGCAAAGGCAGGAAGTATGTGTTACAAGACTGACTGCTTAGTTCATCAATTGCTCTGTTCTAGTGACAGAACACAGCCCCTCAATGCAAAAAAGATATATTTATTTTTTCTTTTGACATGTCAATGGTACCAGGCTCTAACCCAGTGTTGTCGTTTTCTGTATTTGTCTTGCGCTTTTCGGATGGTGGATTTATTCATCATTTTACAGGTTTCAGCTGCAATATCCCCCCATCTCTTTCTTGGCCTTCCCTTCTCCTTACTTCCTGATGTTCTGCGGTAAAAAGACTCAAATGCAATTTGATCTTGCTGCATGTTCGCTGGATGCTCGGAGTATTTCATTCTTTTCCAATCCCAATTGCTGGTAAAAGGATGTATTTAAATAGTATGAATGTCAGTCTGGCAGGACTCTGACAACACTGTTGTTTTGTCTATAAAAATAGTGGTTTTGCACCATAAGCCCAAAGCACTAGTGGTGTGAAATGGGTCTTTTACTATATTTATATATTTCACAAATTTCTTTTTCTTCATTCCTTCTTTTAAAAACTTATACCAGAAGGCCAGGGGCCTTGATGAAAGCTATCATGCAGTACAAATCTCCCTGTATATGTTTACCTCGACTGAGGCTGAAACAGACCACATGGCTTCTCTGTTAGCCGTGCACAGTCTAGTGTTGGGGCGTATGCTTATAACATCAATCAAGGTATGTGTGATGACAGTGTTGAGGTGTATGCTCATTACATTAATCAAGGTATGTGTGATGACAGTATTGGGGTGTATGCTCATTACATTAATCAAGGTATGTATGATGACAATGTTGGGGTGTATGTTCATTACATTAATCAAGGTATGTATGATGACAATGTTGGGGTGTATGTTCATTTCATTAATCAAGGTATGTATGATGACAATGTTGGGGTGTATGCTCATTACATTAATCAAGGTATGTATGATGACAATGTTGGGGTGTATGCTCATTACATTAATCAAGGTATGTGTGATGACAGTGTTGGGACGTATGCTCATTACATCAATCAAGGTATGTGTGATGACAGTGTTGGGGTGTATGCTCATTACATTAATCAAGGTATGTGTGATGACAGTGTTGGGACGTATGCTCATAACATCAATCAAGGTATGTGTGATGACAGTGTTGGGACGTATGCTCATAACATCAATCAAGGTATGTATGATGACAGTGTTGGGGTGTATGCTCATTACATTAATCAAGGTATGTATGATGACAATGTTGGGGTGTATGCTCATTACATTAATCAAGGTATGTGTGATGACAGTGTTGGGGTGTATGCTCATTACATTAATCAAGGTATGTGTGATGACAGTGTTGGGGTGTATGCTCATTACATTAATCAAGGTATGTGTGATGACAGTGTTGGGGTGTATGCTCATTACATTAATCTAGGTATGTATGATGACAATGTTGGGGTGTATGCTCATTACATTAATCAAGGTATGTATGATGACAATGTTAGGGCTTATGCACATAACATCAATCAAGGTATGAGTAATGCCACGCTAACTGGTTCTATTAATCTACCAATTCATAAATAAAAATTCATTTATAATTTCAAGAGCTATATAAATACTATGCCGATATATGGAAATGATGCATGGACAGCTGGCCAATTAGTTAAAAATTATGTGGGAGTGGCTGAGACGTGATTTTATAGACAAATGACGAGAACATCCCGGACAGACAAAAAGAGTAATGAAGATGTCTTGAAAGTAACTGACTCACAAAGAGATTGTGACTGCCAACATCAGAAGGAGACAAAATACATTCATTGGTCACGTCTTGAGAAGGAGAAAAATGAAGTACACGGAATGTAGCAAAGTCTGAGGGGTGGGGTGGGGGCGCAGAAGAAGCCCAAGAAAGATGCTGGACAGTTTGACAACAAAGCATGGAAAATCACTTCTATCAAAATCGATCAAAAGTACATGAGACAGATGGTCGTGGATAGAAATAACTATCAATGCCAAATGGCATGGACTAGCAGATGTGTTTTACAGGATGAGGGACCTTCCAAAGACTCCTTTAGTTGTCTCTTACAGGACACCTGGCAGGTGAAGTGTTTCTTTCTCTGCCTCCCACTAAGGCCATCATAACACAGGGGTGCCCACATAAAATTACCCCTTTAAAATCCTAAAAGCCGAATAAATCAGAACATACCTTCCCTGTGTGAATTTCGAGGCCCCTCTCAGGAAAACAAGAATAGACCCAGTGTCTGCACAAAAGCATGTCGTAAGAATTGACTAACTGGGGGCTTCCTTCACAGTTGGAGTGCTTCTGCCTGAGAAGCAATGAACCAACAGTCTGCATGCAAATGAGTCAGACATGTGAAACGGATGTGCACTCAACACTCAGTTTCTGGAACAGGACAAACAATTAGAACTTTCTGCCGGAGTTTACAGCCGGTAAATGAGAAGAAGAAGAACATACCTATATGAAGGTCTTCTTGCTAGGATTTCCCTTCTTTTCTTTGTCCCAGAGTCATCAGATGATAGTTCTTCATCAACAGTAGCAACCTGACAATCAATATTTCAACAAGGTTAGAGTTGTGTATTTCATCAATTCACTTGCAGAATCACTATTTATGATCTAGTTCTCTTCTGCTGTGTTTACCCCTTACAAATACAGTTGGCACGATGTGTTGGGGTTTAAAGCTAAAATGTGATATCTGCAATTTTCAGCCCAACACATCCTTTTTCAACCAACCCCTGATCAGTCACCTTTTAAATCAATCAATTCCCCATGTGGGTTACGGGACCCTGTTATAGGGAAAACAAGAACAGACCCATTGCCTACCCAAAAGCATGCCGTAAGAGTCAACTAATTGGGAGTTTTTCCTAAAGTCAGAGTGCATCTGCCTGAGAGGCAAGGAACCAACAGTCTACATACAAATTAGTCAGATTTGTCAAACAGATGCACACACAAAACTGAAGTTCTGGAACAGGACTGCAGTCCAGAAGTGGACGAACAACCAGAACTTTCTGCCAAAGTTTACACTGATGAACGCAAAGTAGAAATCAATCAATCAATCACTCAGGTGCCGTCTCCACAATGAAGATTGGCTGCAGTGGATCAACACATTCTGTCTCTTGTCTTGGTCGTACACTCTCAGACTGCTGTTCATCTTCTCATTTGTCCCACCAAACTAATCTAACCTACAAGCAGACTTCCCTTGACAACTAAAAAAGTTACTACTTATTTTGAACTATTATTTTACTGGGGGGACATTAAACACTGAAGATAAATCAAGGTGTTCATAACTGGCAAACTCTGATTTGGTACTTAAAAAAACATTATCAGGTGGTCAAACATGTTATCTGTTGCTCTTTAATGAACTGCATGATTTACATTTGTAGTCTCCTTACAATTTCTTTAATGTTATCACTTCTTGTTGCTTCGTCTATGCAAAATTGTATTCCCTGCATATTCTAACATTCACTTTACATATACAGCAATTGTAATTACAGGAGCTGCTGCAGCAAAATGGTTAGACACGTGCCTGCTGGCTCAAAGGTTTTGGGTTTTAAATCCATACTGGAGAAGATTTGCATAAAATGACATTAATTCTCAGCATGACCTAATCAAAGATGGGTACAAGGAAATATTATGGGAAGTAAAAGTAGCAGACATGATGACACTGACCACATCACATATTCAACGCTGATTGCTCTAGACAAATGTTCATCTAGAAAGTTATGTCCAATGGTGTGAAAAAGGGTCAATTAATATAAATCACTATCTAAGCATTTCATCTGTGAATTTACAAAACAGCTACCTTTCATAGCTTGTTATAGGTGAGCAGACAGTAATTTACACTTACGAATAAGACACAGCGCTACTTTTTTTTTTTTAAAGTAACTGAAGCTAATTTGCATTAATTACTATTTTAATAAGAATCTGCTGTAATGCACAGATTGGTTATGTGCCTTATAAATTCCAATCCGTACCAGGAAAAAAAGAGGGGTGGGGGTGGAAGGTTAGTGATGACCTTATTTCCCAGGCTGATTTCGTCTAAACTGGACATAAGGAAATGTCACAGGAAGTAAAGCGATCATGACAACATCGCCCAATGAGAACCGAGTGGTCTGAATAAAAACTATGGGCCTGGCACTATATGGCTGATGTGTCACTGGCTTGAAAAGGTTGTACTCAGCGGCAGGCTCTTTGCATTACAAAAATCTTTTTTTTGAGAATCAACATCACAGCATGTGAGGCATACCCAAAAATGCTCTGTCTTCTACAGCAAATATCTTAAGGTGTAGATGACGACTGTTTCAGTGGCACACTAGCTGGATCAAACATTATACTTCTCTCATATGTTCTTTCTCGTTCAATCCAAGCACAACTTCAAAATCACACATCCTTATACAAATTAATTTATCTAGCATTATACCTTCCAGTTTTTTTTTTTTACATTACAAGCTGCAAATATTTTGCTAATCACAGAAAATCAATGTTACCCTGACAATCTGGATTGTCTGATAATTGCCAGGGTTCTGTAAAACAGCTGACTGTGTTTGAAAACCAGGCTGCACTTGAATGGCTGAGTTTGGAATGCTCACGTGGACCACTGAAATGCCTTGGCTGCCACCATTTGTGTCAGCTGTTCCATGACCATTCCTTTCTGACATGTCTGAGATATTAAAAGAAGATGCAATTTAGTATGCGGCCATTCTAAAAGTATCAAGATTATCAGGATATAACCAAAATTTCTTCTTATATAAGCAAGTGCTTTGACAGGGATAAAAAAATTTTCCATTCAACCAGCATACCCGAAGAGGGAAGCTAAAGGTTATAATTTTGACTAGGTTATGTGCGCCATGGGAGTCGCCTAGGCAGAGCACTAGATGTTCGCCTCACCAGGTCGTGGGTTCGCTCCCTGGCGAAGCAGGACCTTTTTCAAAAATGACCTTGGATCCCAGGTCGACCCAGTCTTGAGTGAGTACGGGGTGCAGTCCCGGGAAGTAAAGGCGGCTGACGTGATGCTGACCACATCCATCTTGTGCAGATTGGTCTATAAAATACAGGTCTAGCCCTATATGCCCTAAGGCGGGGAAAAGGGTCCATTACTTTTTTTTACTTTACTATGTTTGCCATACAAAATGACTTAGCACTGCATGCCTGGAATGCCACCTAGAGCCCCAAAAAGGACTCGTGCAGTGTTGATGAGATCAAAGGAGACAGACCCAAATACTGTCCTGACCAGCGACAAAGTCGTCTACTAGCGGCCAATGGGCGTTGAAATTTCTTCTCATTCTTCACTTCCTCTTATACTACTTCAGGTGTGTGTCAAGGGAGGTAACAATGTTGTTGTTCTTGTTATTCTGGCTGCCTTGATCATGGATACTTCATGCTGCTGTAGAGCTGCTCTAATGTTCTCTTTCCAACTTCTTCCAAGTTTACTTTAGGCTTCCTTTTTTTTTAATTCTGTGTATGGTGTGGAGTCACCCATTTAAATTTAAAAAAAAAAAACTCTGAAAATAATAATGCATCTCTAAACACATCAGTCAAGAAATTATTCAGGTTTTAATATAATTTGGCACAGGACAATCAATATCTTTTTTCGTCACCCCCATGTTGGTTAGTTGCGTATCCTTTACAGGACGCTGCAAAACCAACCCCAGCACTTTCTGGCTGTTGTGGTTTTTCTTGGCAAATTTGCATCCAGTAGTGTGCCACTGCTTTCAGGACGGTCGACTCTCTGTACCACGGTCGAAACCATCGCAAGACAAACAATCCACAGCAGGGATCAAACCCAGCACCCTGACATTACGAAGTGCGTTCACAACGACTAAGCCACAGACGCCGACCATCACCATGTGGGATGCGATTTTTCGTTATTATTTAGAAGCCCCACCCTGGCTGTTGTTAGGGGACTCAATATAGCCTAACGGTTGAATGTGGTTTCCAGGACCTCTCCAGGGGTGATCACCATCCGCATAGTGGCACTTTGTGTCACCGGATGTTTATCGCTCTCTGTTAAGTCCTGGTGAGGTAAAATTTACTTACTTACTGTACAGAGCAATGATAGGCAGATAAAAAGTTTAAAGATGTCTTAAAAGAAATAAACCAACACAGATAATTAATCTGTATTTGCTGGGCACATGGTAAGGACATAGGGATGAGGTGGGAACATCATGACAACAGGACAGTTGGAAAGAGACGTAGAGGGAGACCCACAAGAAAATATTACTGCCAGTTTAGTTTCATGGCATGAAAGAACTCTAACAAGAATGAAATAACAGTACATGAGTCAGAAGACTGGACTCCATGTGTGGGTTCCGGGTGCCCATCCTGGGAAAAACAAGAACAGACCCACTGTCCCGTTCAATAAATGCTTGCAGACTTCAGATGTGTCAGCGGAAATGCACAAATGCCACAGCCATGCTGTAAAAATGGGCACAACACATTTACATCTTCGGACAAATGCAGAAAAAGAAACAAAAAAGTATACAATAAAACCTCACTGACCCAAATTCCAAATTTGTGTGTGCAAACCGAGGACTAATAACTACTGGGACCCAAATTGTGTTTATGTTAACCAAGTGTTCTTATTAAGCAAGTTCATGTTAATGAGGTTTTACGGTACCATATAAGTAACAGAAGGAATTGGTCTCATGTTCTTCCTCATTAGAGGTTCTGATACCATCACTAGATAAGCTGACATCAAATAAAGTGAAACATGGGTGGACTAAAAATAGTGTGTTTAAGAAATCCGGAGTTTGAAAGGATGACCAAAGACCACACACACAGGAATGTGATACTTCTTCGTGATGTTCTCACGTTGTAAACTCCAAGGGGAAAGTTCTGACTGTTCGTCCATTTACAAACTTTAGTTCAAGTTTTGTTCCAGAACGTGAGTTTTGCATGCACAAACGTTTTACAGCTCTGGCTTCTTTGAATGCAAGCTGTTGGTTTCTTGCCTCTCAGGCAGATGCACTTAAGACTTCAAACCCCCTAATTAGTTGACTTTTATGAAATGACTGTTAGGGTTAAAGTGGGTCTATACACCCCCAACCCCCACGCTTTTCACAATGGGGTCTTAGAACAAACATAGGGAGAATGAGATACTGTCATTTAGAATGCTACTTGATATACTGTAAAGATCTATTTTAGCAGCATTCCTGTGTGATTTCCAGGGCCCCATTGGTTGGGCTACTGGGGAGCAGGAGGCTAGGCGGGTGTTGGATCCTTAATTTGCCTGTCATAAACAAATACATAAAGGGTTTGCTTATATCGGATGTGTTAGACCTAAAGGTGCTATACTGAGTAGCCTAGATTAAACCATAACACACCAACCCACCCTTTTGAGAGGGAATGAAATCGAAGAAGAAAATGCCTAGAAAATGTCTAAAATGGTAAGGAGGGCGTAGTTTAGAGGATGGGGCTCCCGAGTGTTTAAATTTGGGGAGAGGTTGAATGAGTCTGAGGACCCCACGTTTACTTTGTGACAGCATACCCAATGATACCCGCGTTGTAGAAGTGATGTAGTTACCTAGGGTAGCAATATTATTATTTTGTTATCAATAACAATAAATTTCAGTGGTCTACTTATTCCAACAATCATCAATGCAAGCTGGTGACTGATGCTACAGGCTTAACTCAGACATTACTCATTCATTTTAATTTATAATGAGTATTAAACTATTACTGTTTTACTCTTACTGTATTATTAATATAATACTATTATATTCAACACACTCAACGCGTTATTTTGATCTAACAATCTTTAATAATGAATAACGAATAATAAACTTTCATTTATTCGATGGTCATAATTAATAATAATAATATCAAGACCTCAGTATAGTTTGTCCTTACTATGTAGCTTGTAAGCAATACTAGTACTACTTTTAGAGCACCAGATTTTATTACACATTACATGCATCAATAGTAATAATTAATAGGTCAACACACACTAGTAACAGAACACACGTTTGTGTGCATGTATGACTGATCAATGAAATCTGAACTCCTTTAGTCTACTGACTACACTAGCATTGAAGCCTAGCCAAACTCCGGATTAATCGCGGATTCGTGATAATAATGCAACATAGTTGGCTACAAGGGAAATTTAATTCGTCTAAAAATTGCAATTAGCCATTCTGGGCGCAAACGAAAAACAATCTTTTCCCCCCTTTCACCAGAAATGAGCTACCGCTTCGTTTTGACAAACCTCGAGCAATCCCAATTTCCGTTAGCAAAATGCATGGTGTTTTGGCACAGCCTTTTTAGATTTTCACAGAATGTTATTGTCCTAAACCACACATAAGTCTCTCGGTTGTATCCCGGGGTCACCACCACGCTTGATTGTTGTGATTCGCCAATGAGTTCTTACCAATTACGTTCTTTTCGTCACCAACTTTGCTGCGATCGGAGTGGATAAATTTGTAGAATACGTAGTGGCCACGTCAAAATACAAGTTGAGCGTCAGCAAGCACGTCGTCGAGCAGGCCGAGCCGTTTCTCTGCAGCCAGGGCTGCCGAAGTTGGTACTTTCTTACAAATTTGGTACTTTCTGACCATATAGAGCAAAACTCTACTTTTGGTATCACACATCCGATGTTTTTGGTACGTTTTATAAATTGTGCATTAATGTTGTACATTTTAGCATTGTGAAAAGCTTTTTTTTTAATGGACTAGGAATTGACTGAAAAATAAGCAAGATGCAAATGCACATTTTGACGTGATTGTTCAAGTATGTGCTTTTATTTCCGCTTCAAAGACCATTGCAGAAATTTCCGCCCAGATAACTGGTAAATGGTTCTCTTTCGTGTCTTTTGTCGCAGTTTACATTTAGGAACATATTTATAATTGTTCATTTATGTGTGTTTTTTTTGTTTAATTGCTGTTTTAATTTCCGATATGAACGAGCATAAAAATATGAATGTTAGCTCAAATAGTTAATGATAACAAAGATAACGTTCCTAAGGAAAAAAATCAAAAAGTTAGCATCTGTTTACGAAAAAGTGCCATTAAAGTTGCTCACATATAAACAATATTCTTCATGATTTGGTGTCAATAAATGAACAAAGTTTAAAATTTTGTGCGTTTGGTGCCTTTTCCAAAGACATTTGGTACTATTCTCTAAAGGTTTCGGCAGCCCTGCCTTCAGTTCCCATATTCATACACAGATACCTCCCATTGGTTACATCTTACGATGACGTCATCATATCCGTGTTGTTGCTTCCTATTTATAGAAACGTGTACATTTTGCTCTCTTAATGCAGAATTATTTCTCAAATGCACATTTGATATAATATTTCGAATTACAACATTTCCCAAACACACATCTTAATTAAATATAGAGTATTTATGTTTACAAACAAAATAGCGAGTTCTGTGATCTATATTTTTATACCAGCAGTAGATGACACACTACAGAATGCAAATGGTGGTATTGTAACGCGCAATTTCTTTTGGATGTTAAAGGCTACACACAATGTATTGGGAGGTTAGTTGCGTACCCTTTACAGGACGTTGCAGAACGAATCCTCAACAGCCCCTGGCTCTTGTGTGGTTTTTCTAGGCAAATTTACGTCTAGTAGTTTGCCATTGCCTCTGGACGGTCGGCTTTCTTGATACCACTGTAGCCTATGTATTGGGAGACCATTTAAAATTTACCACATGCG